TAAATCATGGGCTTGAATAAATGATGTTAAAGAATCAATGTCATTTGAAGCTGAAATAAATGAACGAGGAGTAACATATTTCCAATTAATATCAACACACTCAATATTATTAATAACATTATAAATATCAGCACTACTTAATTCCCTAACAATAGTTTCATTTAATACTCCAGTTTGAGTAAAAATAATAGATTCTTTCCAATACACCTTATCACGTAAATGTTCCTTCAATAACCGAATATTATTATCATTAAATGTTAATATAAATATACCAAGTCTATCAAATAGTGGTTGTTTATTTATTACTATATTTGAAAGAATTCTAAAACGTAATATTCCATATGAATTTAATTCATCTACTGATACAAATGACTTTAATATTTTTTCAGTTGTAGTATCTAAAATGACATCTTTTATATTATGCGCATTTCTTTCATCAAATACACAACAAAGTTCTTGAATAAGTTGTCTAAGTTGTTGAATAGAATTCATAAAAAATTTATATCTTTTTTTTCGTTTTTATTTTCATTTTTTTTATAAAAATCATTTCTGCAAATAGGATACCACGAAAATAATATAGAAATAAATATATACAAACAAATAGATTTAGAATACATTATCAATGTTATAACTATAATCATTATCATCAAAATAATAGCCATAATCACTTTAATAATTATCATATGATAAATACAATAGTACATTCTCAATTAATCACATTTATAATAAAATGAAAGTAATTATTATAACCACAAATATCATAATACAGGTAAAATGTTTAATCAGTATTATCATGAGATTAAATAATGTAAAAGATATAGAAATAAAAGATATTATAAGAAAAGACAAGGAAGAAAATACAAAAGAAAAAAAAAGAAAATAATACAAGAAATGATTAATAGATTTGAAGAAATAGAATGACAAAGAAAGAGAAACTAAGTAAGAAACAAGAATAACAAGAAGAAATAATAAAAGAAAGAATACAAGAACAAGAAATAGAAGAATAAAGTAATAGAAAGATATGAAAAATAACAAAATCCAATAGAACAAGAAAGAGAAATAAAAGAAAGAAGAGATAAAGAAATAATGAAGAACAAATGAACAATCAGAACTTGATGAAAATAAGATAAAAAGTTATTATTG